AACAGACAAGTTGCTGTCCTTTTGTTCTTCAGTCTAGTTGTGGAGGACGTCGCTTCACTGGCCCATGTTGGTGTTATCATTGCACTCTTCCCGGGTGAGGCATTCGGTCACTGACCATTGGATGGCCGCTCACAGCAGCCCATGCCGTCGCCGTCACCTCACGGCAGCCCAGCTCCAGGTTGAGCTGTTGTTCACCATCTTAACTGGCCCATGTGGGATCCAAACCAGCAGCCCTGCTGCTCAGAGCTCACGCTCCCAAGCCAACTCTTAACCAATGAGCCACTCAGTCAGCTTGTCCTATTCTTACAACTCCACTAACAAACAGGGAAGAAAGGGATGAAAACAAAAACAAAACAAAAAAAAAAGGGATGCATTTGCCCTAAACCAATCATCAAGAGAGTAGCATCTTGGAATACAACATATACCATTACATGTTTTATTACAGCAATATTTCTAATATTAAATACATACCCATAAACTATTTTGATGTCTTGAAAACCTCTAAACCTGCATTGTCCAATAGAATGCGACTAACCTGTTTAAATTTTAATTAATAAAATTTTAAATTCAGTTCTTTAGTCGTGTTGGCCACATTTTCTGTGTTCAATAGCCACATATGGTCCATACTGGACAGCAAGCACCGCTATAGAACATTTTTATCATTGCTGAAAATTCTATTGAATAGTGCTGCTGTAAACTATTTCCTCTTGTGTGTGGAAGCATTGGAAATTCCATTTTTCAGGTCATGTATAGTAACCTATTTAGAACTATAGCTTCTGTAATTAGACTGCCTTACATATTGCCATTCCTTAATTTAATATCTAGACAAATATAGGAAGCAGCAGCAAGAAACACCTTTGGGGAATCTAAGTAAAATAAACATGTTATTTACTCTATATATGGAAAAAGATGGCAGAGTCAAACCAAAAAATTGAAACTACAATTTAATAGTCTGCCACAACTGAGTAGCTGTTTGAATTTAGAAAAAATTCTTCACTTCTCTATCCTTCATACTGTTTACAAAAAGTGGCAATGCCTGGTCACTTGACAATTTCATATGGTTGCCATGAGACTAAATGACCTTATGTGGTTCAAATCTTCTTACAATGAATTCTGAGACAGGAAATTAAGTAATATTTCCTAAATGAAAATCCCAGTTCCTTGATTCCCATAACTGCATATCCCATCCCCTTCTTCCTCCTCCTCTTTCATTTGCATTTCTCTGATCTACTTCCTGCCCCACCATCACCCCTCCCAGTCTTCTCTAGTCCCAGATTTCACATGGCAATAAATTACCTCACCTCAGACTAAATAGATAGCAGGGAGCCAGTTATATTTTGATTGGTTTCTCTTTGCCCTTTTCCTGGTATAACTGCTACCTTGCCTTCCCAGGCACACAAAGTACATACAATGCTATTGTAAAGTCAGAAGCCATTTCCTTCATTTCCAATACTAGTCAACTAGGGTCTCCCATTCCAAAGCTCCACATCCAGAAATTAAACCACTTTTAGCCTGTTCTAAAATCCAGGGAATGTAGGGTAAAGTTACACAAATGCACAGGATCTAAGAAATATAATGCATATCAAAGTAATATTATACTATACTCATATAAATACATCCATAAAAGGCTGCATACATACAAAATATATGAATAGTTCCTCATAAGTTACAAAAAACATGGATCTAATCATATATTTTATGTTGATTTGTTAATGAGAGAAAACAGGCTTAAGATACAGGAAAAATAAAGGCAGAAATACATAGTTGAAATGCTGCAGTTAAATATTATTGGTCATTGGCTTAGAGATCTTGGTTATATAGAATTATTACATGTATTACTGTTTATCTTTAAAAAATACCCTAGGGCCGGCCGAGTGGCTCAATTGGTTAAGAGCTTGCTCAAGAGTGCGAGCTCTGAGCAACAGGGTTGCTGGTTCAATTCCCAGCCCAAGCTGAGCTGCCGCTGAGCTGCCAACAGATGGCAGGATGGCTCAGCTAAAAAATAAAAAATAAAATAAATAAATAAATACCCTAACAAAAAATATATATGCCCAAGAGCCCCAGTTCTGCACACAAAAGCTGAATCTACATATAAATTCTGAAGTGCCATAGCAGTTAATTATTTAGTACTACCAATCAAGGACACACTCCAAGTTAAACAGAAAGGGTTTCATCTACTTTAAACCAAATATATTAAAAAATGGTTTAATGAGCCAGCCGAGTGGCTCAGATGGTAAGAGTGCGAGCTCTGAACAGCGGGGCTGTTGGTTCGATTCCCACATGTGCCAGTAAGCTATGCCCTCTACAACTAAGATTGTGAACAACAGCTCAACCTGGAGCTGAGCTGCCGTGAGTCACTGGTGACGGCGTAGGCTACATTGGGCTGTGAGCTACCATGAGTAGCCGGTAGCCAGTGTGAGTGGCCAGCAGCTGGCAAGAGCTTCCAAGAGCGGCCATCCAATGGCTGGTGACCGACTGCCTCAGCCGGGAAGAGCGCAATGATCATAATACCAACATGGGCCAGTGAAGCAGCATCCTCCACAACTAGACTGAAGAACAAAAAGGACAACAACTTGGCTGTTCTCCTTCCCAAATCCCCAACACTGCTCCCCTCCCCCAATTCCCCAATAAAATCTTAAAAAAAAAAAAAAAAGGTTTAAAAACACAATTAAGGGCCGGCTGAGTGGCTCAGTTGGTTAAGAGCTCACTGAAGAGTGCAAGCTCTGAGCAACAGCGGTTCGATTCCCAGCTCGAGCTAGGCTGCCGCTGAGCTGCCAACAGGTGGCAGGATGGCTCAGCTAAAAAAAATTATTTTTTAAATAATTAAAAATGAAAAGCAAAATAAAACAAAGATTGTATTATATCACCCAATCAGTGAAAGACAGTATTACAAAATCAGCTTTCTATTTTACAAATAAATTTTAATTTGTCTGGAATAAATACATTTGACAAAATCAAGTTAACTGAAATTTACATATACAACAGTAAATATCAAATACAGGTGTAAAGCTTTTCTAATACAACTTACAAACCTGAGCAAAAATCTTAACCAGCCGCGAGTTGTGTGAGGGTCGAATTTGCAAATATTCTCTCCACCACTGTTTAGCATATACAAGAAATAATCGCTCTTTCTCTGCAGTTTTCTGCCGTTCCAAAGCAAGCTTGAAATTAAAAAAAAACTTCTTTAATTTCTATTCATTCTCCTTAATTACTATAAAATAGGCAACAAATCTATGCACTTCTCTCCATCTCTATCACCATCCTAACCTAAGCCACCATCATCTCCTATGTAAGAGTCTCCTTCTTAACTTCCTTATTTCTACACTTCCTCCGGTACAATCCAGTCTTCATACAATAATCAGAGTGACATTTGTAAAAAATAAGTCATTGTCATTCTCTTGCTTAAAACTAATAAATTGTAATTTTCTAAGAAGAGAGTGTTTTCTAGGATAAACAAGTAAATATATTACTATGAAAGAAATACACAAAGTAGAGAAATTCAGAATTATTTACCTGTGTGTTCACTACTTCTTGAGATAATGTTTGATTGAGTGGTGGATACATCTCAAGTTTTATATTTAAAATTCCCACAGAAACTTTTGATTCTGTGCCTATAAATGTAAATATTTAGAACTTCAGAGGTTTCAATACTATATATATTTAGTCAACCGAAGTCTCACCAAAATACTTCAAGAATTTTATGCCTTACCACTTACATGGAATAAGGATAATACTTAACATCACCTTAACATTCATACTAAAAATGAACCAAATCAAATTAGTACAAAGGCCTTCATCTAACTATAAGAAGATTATGTATTTTCTTAGCTTCCTAATCACATTTTAAGGGACTTCTAGGAACTAAAGAATTTGGAAATCTTAATTTTTATCTTCATTAAATGCGTAATACCAACCAGACTTACATTAAATACAAAGTCAAAGCAACTGTTAACACTTCATTCTCAGAAATTATTTATACTCTTTGTCTATAGTAATTCCCATTTTTCTATCACATGTGAGTATAAATTTTCAATCCATTCCTGGATTTAAAGAATTAGAAAACAAATATAATTCACACCAAAACTGTCTAATACTTCTCTGGTGAATCAGAATATATTGTTTCTTGGTCATTACTTGCTTATCATGTTAGGCCTATATCTAAAGACAAATAATGGGTATCGCATTTGAAAATAAATGTCCTACATAAAACCTTTTTCTCCACTTTTTAAACAAAAACACAATTAAAGTCTGACGTAACAAAATCTAAATCACTAAAGCTATACTGTCCAATGGCCAAACTTGACTCTAAGTTTCAATACCAAAGTAATTCCATTATGTTATGCATAAAACATTGGTACCTTTTGTTTTTCATTGTATTAGTAAATATGTATTACATATCAAGTGGTATGCAAGAGTTCAAGGAGATAATGATGAATAAATCAGGCACCATCTCTGTCCTCTAAGAGTACTATTCATTGATATGGACACTGAGCACGTTAATATCTTTTTGAGTGCCATTTTCCCACATGTACGTAATAGAGTAGAAAAATACCTATTCAGTATTCCACAAGAACTGCTGCTACAGCAAGCCATTGGGGATACACTGTATTCTGAGTTGCCTTGTGCTGGAATAGAGGTATTTTATGTATGCATGCATGCGTGCATGTATGTGTGCAAAAACAACTTTCTTCATAGCCTTATATACAATCAAATAAATATAAAAAAGAAAAATCCATCAAAAATTCTATATTCACTTCTCAGAAAAAAACAACTTCCTTAAGACAAGGTCAGATTGACTGTGAAGTTCTACACTCATACTATTTTTCAAGACATTTCCCAAAATTACAACATTGGAGAGTCCAATTGTAACGCTAAAGAAATTCTTTTTACATATTTCTCTATTGGTTTAACATGCATTTTAAAAATATTAAAATGTATTTACAAACTGTGGCTATAAAAAAAGATAACAGTGATATTAATCATCATACCTACACCCATAAGTTCCACAGTAAGATTGGTAACTCCATTTTCTGAGCCCAAAACTGATCGCCATTCGAGAAAATAGGATGCTACTAAAGTGGTCTCACCAAATATGTCTGTTTTGATTAGCACCATATGAATTGGGTCACTTATTGATAACATTGTTGTTGAATCAGCCATTCTAGTTCCATCACCTAGCAACATAAACCAAAAAAAAAAAGAAAATTATATCTCATTACATATTCAGTTAGGCCAACACAAAACAATATTTTTATTGAAAAGGGTGCTAATGATAAACATATAAAACCAAATAGAATAATTTGGTAATGCCTCAGAAAGCATGCTACAAACTGGGAATAAAAGTACAGTCCTATTTCTATCACAACTTTTAAGAGCACTGGTAGGTTGTGAAAAGTTATTTAGTTACTTAATGCATATCAATGTTTTCTGATGACTAAGAGATAAGTTTGTTCTTTAAAAGTACTAACTAAACTATATGCTACTATAATACAAAGCCTTCAAATATGTCAACATTAATCCCCAAACTACCTTTATCCCTAAACCTCCAGAAATAATCACTGTATTATCTACACAAAACTGAAAGATCCAACAACTTGGAGCTAGCAATTTAACCCATAACTGCCTTATTAGGGTAACATTTTTCACTGGGGGGAAAATAAATTTTCGTGCTGCATTAGCTATCTTAATAACCTAAAATTCTGAAGATATAATTTACAACTGTTAACTTTACAAATATATTATAAAGATTTCTATATTGACAACTAAAATGTATAAAACACCTTTATAGGAAGAAAAGGATAAAACAATTATAGGAATCAAGTAACATAATTTTAAAGTTAATGAGTTATAGATTCACATCTAAACTTTGATTTTTTTTAAGTTACATAAAACACCATAAATCGAGTCATCTTTCATAAATAAGGAGAATCATGTCTCATTTTCCACTATATCCCCAGCATTTGCCTAACATAGTATCATGCACCTAACAGGTATTTAAATGTTGGTTACTAAAGAACCAACCATTAAAACAATCACAAAAGAAAGCAAGAAGGTGGGTAGAAGTGGTTTATATAGAAAAGAACAGTGGGGAAAAAAACTTTTAAAAGGCTAGGGAGATTCATCCATTATAAATCTGTTGTTACAGCAAAAGTGATCATTCTGCAATAAAGCCTCACAGAGATGTACTCAGTTAAAGAACAATTTATTACTGCCCCTTACCTAAGCTTTCTCTGTGTACTTCAAGTAAAAAGCCATCATGAAAATCTGGTTCACAGGCACATGGAACAGGTTTAGAACGAAAACGTTGGTTTCGAAAATGTAAACATAAAGTAAACGTTGAACAAACTTGTCCCGGTAAAGGCTCAGGTTCTTGCAGATGTTCCAAGAAAGCTTTTCCACCCAAAACCTGAAGGTAAAGATACCTCCGTGTTGGATCAATATTAGCTGTAAAGTGTAGCAATATATATGAGGAAACTGCCAAATAACTTAAGGAATGTGATCAAGACAACAGGAAATAATAACTTGACAGAAATAAAAACAAAGTCTAGGAAAAAATAAATAAAAAGAGTGACAAATTTACTGTATACCAGGACCATTTGCACCCAAGGAAGAAAAGATACATAATATGGTATCTTTTTCTGAGTTTATATTTTGGCTACTTTCTCCCAGCTAAATAGGAGTCAGAGCCAAGGTTTAGGATAACTTTGCTCTTTAGTTGCTATCCAACATTACTTCACTTTCACAAACCAACTCAAATATCTCAACTCAGCAAAGTGTACTTGTGAGATAATTACATTACCACTAAAAAAACATGGCTGTATAATTTTTATAAAATATATTACTAACACATGAGCAACAGGCAGTCCTATTTTTGCTTCCACTCTGCCATACGTTAAATCTTCTGATATCATGCAAAATAGAATTGAAGCTTTTTGGATTATTAGGCACAAAAAATATAAATATTTCATTCTGGGGAAAAAAATTGAAATGTTTTCTATCACATACCAAACACTACAGTACATCTATCCACAGTACTATCCACAAGTAAATTAAGGTTAAAAAGAAATACACATACTTTTTTTTAACAATGTTGATTGTTTATCAGTAAAACAAACTGATTGTTTTGGAGAGGAAAGGAGTTCTTGATCAACATTGTCCTAGAAAGGCAGAAAAATACAAAACAAATTAGAAAACAAAAATTATAGTTAAGAAAATGCCAATAATGGAACTAAGAACCGAACGAAAAGAAGATAGGATAAAGTCCCCTCAACAGATCCCTTGTTTTCCTCAAATAATTAAAATCATGAAAAGCCTGCAAAAAAGGCGATCCAACTGGTCAGTCCTAAAGTCTAATATTAAGGAATTAAACTGTCTTCAAGCAATGTCCATAGAATGCTAAAAACAAATTCTTAATACCTTAAACAAGGTTAAACTTTCTCTAAATCTCATATAACATTTGACTTATGATTGTACCATGAACTTATTTTAATAAGGAAGTGACATTCACACACAGCAGAAACTGTTATTAGGTCAATTTTTATACCAAATGGGCTCACAAACCTCAAAACCAAAAAAGGATGCTGTATTAAAATACTTATTCCCTGGTGTATTATGAAGTCCATCCAATTTTTACATTATATTACCCAGGTATTGAGGTCACAATTTCCCATTATTGCCTCATTTTCAAAAGGCCTACTTACTAATTTGTACACTGAGAGGCTATCATCCCACAACTGACCTATTTGTATAAAAAGATTTTAAGATTCTCATGCAGACAATTATTTTCTTAAAGGAACTGATAATTTCTTAATCATAGATAATATTGTCCCAAGTGTTTATTTTTAAAATAAGCCTAATTTTTAGAATTATATAACAATATTAGTGAAAAAGAACTAGGTTATGGTGAACCAATTTGACTAAAATATATATACTGAAAGTTACAGACCTAGAGAATAATAAGAGAAAATTCTGTCACTGTAGAGGGAGAAGAATGGTATATATAACTATAAGTTCACTGAGACATAATCCTACTTGACACATTCAAGGGTAGAATTAGCTTATACTTGAAACAAGGATATTACTAGGCAAAACTATCTTTTTTTAAAGTTTTACTAAAAGGAGAGGCCCGGAAATATGCTTATACTCTCAGATTTTCTCCCCTACAAGATTACTCACAGCAACAAAATTAAGTTCTTTCATCACATCATCAATGATTCCCCGACGTCTAAGAGCTTTGATCAAATCTTCTGTTGATAACTGTTGTTGATCAGGTGCTAATTCTTCCCGTATTGTCTCAGCAAGGATTTCTCTTATTCTGCCATGGACATCCATCTATGTAGAAAACTCACATTACAATTCACAACATTACAAAGCAGACAAATATTGCCACTTAGTTAATTTCTTTCTAAAATACTGACAAAAGAATAATGGGAGACTAGATAGATTAAATTCAGGAAAGCTTCTCAAATAAATAGTAAATGTAAAATTGTTACCAGAATTCAAAGATAATAAAGGTAAGATTTTTAAAAGGAAAAAAAAATTTAAGATGAAAATTTTTAGTGCAAATTCTAGAAATAATCTCTACTGGTTATCTACTACCTTTGTTACTATTTCCCCACAAATAACATTCAACCAAAACAATCTTTTTGACAGAGAGTATAGTATAAGCAAAAGAACACAGACGGAAGGGAAGGAATCAAAATATGACTTTCAGCTTTCAACTTATTAGATGTGATCTTGAGTTAACTTATTTATCTTTTACGAATCTGGAAAAAATAGTGCCCTGTCAAGGTTACTGTGAGGCTTAGATAAAAGATGCTAAACACTTAGCACAAAGCCTGGCATACAAGTGCACAATAAAAGGTAGCTTTCATTAATTCAGCGTATTGCATTCAGTTGAGCACCTCAAAGAGACAATGTTTTTTTTGAGCTCTTAAGTATCACAAATACTTCCATTACAAATCCTTGATAACTCCTCTTTCATGACTTCTTTAAGAATTGCCAATTTGGTTCAATATCAATGACACCTCAAGTTTTACCTTTAAAGCAATTCTAATTTCTGACCTCTAAATACAAACCTGCTCCAAACACTACTTCTACTGATATGACATAGCTCCATTTTCACAACTGTCCCATAATACTAACGCCGTTCTATCACCTCAGACTTTTACTAGCACTTTCTGAGTTTGTTCTCTTTTATCGAGCCTAGACAGTTCCTCTGGCTTCAAATCCAAAGCTTTGCCATCCCGCGCTCTGCGTCTCATAGCCTTCGCTCGAGTCCCCAGCAAACAGGTGCCATAGTCGGCCGGGCCAAGGGGCACAAAGCTGGACACTCGGGGCCACAGGCGGGAAAAAGAACGCCGGCGGCCCCTCACCTTGCTCAGCTGCTGGTGGATGAGCTGCTTCAGCTCAGAGGCTTTCTCCGGAGGCAGCGACATACTGGGGCCGGCACCTCACCACGGATTCTTTTCGCTTCAGGCGCCCCAGCCGGCCCCAGAACGTTAGTCTCGGGTGAGCACAGAGCCGGCGCGACCACTTGCCTCGCGCAGCTCCCGCTAGGGCGCAACGACACGTCAGGCCCGGGGCTGAGAGTGAGGTGAGGATGCAGCTGCAGCGGCGCCCAACTGTTGTTTTCAAACGGCGGCGGACAGCCAGGCCTCGGGGCTGTCCTCCGCTCTGCCTGATGAACTCCACCAGCCTATCCCCCTCCCTCGAGGTCCCCACCCCGCGACCTCATCTCAACCCAACGCATTGACTTGCTGGTGTCTCCGGGTGCGCTCTATCTGTCCCATCTCTCCCTCCCTCGTGGTCCTTTTCTGTCTTCTGGACCGGCAGATAGCTGGACGGGCTTCTCAGGACCTCGCGCCGAGGGACTCGAAGGACCTCGTCCTCCTGGCCCCGCCCCGCCCGGGTCGCGTGGGGCTCTATAGGGAATCGAGGGCGGCGACGTTGCGAGCTTGAGGTTTTTGCTTTCCCGCCGCTCTGGTTCATCCCGGGCCGGCACTCATCTTCCTCCCACTCCAGTGCGACAATGTTTGTTCCCTACGGAGAGTCGGTCCCGGATCTCGCGGGTTTCACCCTCTTGATG